CTGTTGTAAATAATAGGACTATAGTTGGTTGGGGGGTTGTTGGTTGTAAGTATTGATTTAGTAGGATTAATTTGAATATTAGCCATATTGTAAAAGGGCTCTAAATTCTGTTCTAATCACTTTATCTTCATTATTATTAACTTTGAATTACTTAGTTACTTTGTCCCTTATAATTATTAACTTATAATTAAAGTGACTAATTTAAATTGATTATGATTGATACATTTAAGCGATTGACCTTAATTAATTATTTCATCTCACATGCACAAGTCACTCTACCAATTGATGTCAAGTGACCAATTCTCAATAAATATAAAGTCAGGTTCACTATTGGATCTAAATTTGTTGTTAACTTGAGGTGCCTATAGAAAAACACATCATATTTAGTCACGTGAACATATTTAAGTAATAATCGAAGCTCTTTTTTTGAACTTGAATATTTTTCTTGCAATACATAATTATTTTATACTATAAACATACATTTGTTATTTGACCAACATAAAAAATTTCGCTATCTGGTCAAAATCTGGCATAACATAAGTCAACAAAATACACCCAAATTCTAACCCTAAAGCTGATAGCAAAACTTCTTTGAATGATGTCGGGGTTTTATAATGTATCTAATCATATGTCTTAGCCAAATTGAAAATTTTTCCAATATATGATCATAATTATGCAGGGATCATTATTATTATAGACATTTACTTGTATTCATACAGGCTAAAAATTAACTATTACCTTTATTAGTAAAGTTAATTTATGTCATTGATTGATATATAAATAAATGATAAAGTGATAACAATTCACTCTTCTTTGTATGAGAAACAACAACAAAAAAAAAATAATAAAATTGGTTTAGAGTTCGATTGTTCAATCATTGAGTATATTATGTAACTAGTTGCATTAATCTTATGATGACCCATACTCGAACTTTGAAACAAAAAATTGTTATTCATCCAGGCAGAGTAAGAAGGCCTTACCTGAAAATTCAACAATGATATTACAATAGAGCTAAACTTTCGAATAACCCTCAAGACCCTGCACTTAGTACTAATCTTAAGAATAGTGATGTTTCAATTAATAATGACTTTGAATATAGTACTGAAAATGACAGCTTTGATGATGACATTGGAAATAGTAGCAATAATTTTGAAAATAGTAGCGATGACTTTGGAAATAGTAGCGATGACTTGGGAGATGTTTTAATTAATAACTTCGAACTTGAGGACAGTGATGATAGTAACAATAATCTTGAAGATAGTGATAATAACATTTTAATTGATGATAACCCACCTAATCAAAAAACAGTAGAT